TGCCGTCTGACATAAGGTGCTCTTGATGTGAGCATAACTCCTGTCAGAATTAAGAACTGGGTGTGTTAGGAAGCTGTTAGTTTGTGTGTGTGTAAGAACTGTCCTTTGGCATTTATAAGCAAGAAATTTCCTTGACCTTTAAAGAAAAAAGAATCCTTTGCATCTGCATTATTTATCACCATGCAGCTTTTACTTTTGAAGGAGAGTAATACTGATGGATATTGTATATGTATAGGCTCCTATTTGGAACTGGCTAAGGAAAAATATTGGTTCGTCAAATACAAACATTTGGTAGTAGTTTTGGTTAAACTTTTTTCTCTTGCCAAGCAAGGAATGTATGATCACAAAGAAACAGTGAACCTTACTGCTAGCAGCAAGCAGAGTGTTTCTCAGCAGCTGGGAAAACCCTTTATTGAAAATCCTTCCATTGCCTGGTTAAGATTACAGGCTTGAACTGGTGTCTTTCTGAAGAAGGGAATGCTTTGGCTAGAGTACACAAGGCTTGTCTGAGGTGTGTGGCTCATGTTTCCCCTGTTGGAACTGTTACCTATAAATATGCATCTGTCTATAATAAAGTGTGTATTTTTAGACCAAAAATTTGAAGCTGAGATTTCCATGTAGCAGAGAGTACCTTAGCCATGGGCTAGGAGAAAAGTACTTTCTGTTTGTTTTCATCACAGCAATGCCCACCCAATACCAACTCCATAATCTAAAGATGGTCCTTGAACAGTCATTTGAAGCTGGGCTTTCCACATCTTAAACTAGCTTCCTCTAAGCATAAGGCAGTTCAGGGCATGAAAGAAATGTTGCATCTGGTGCTCTTTTTCTCATTGGGGCTGTAAGATTTTTAAAAGATGTTGATTTATTTTGTGTGTGAAGGGAGAGTCACTTCATAATCTTGAAAATTTTGCAGGCAGGACAGCGAAACTGATTCCTGTCCAACTGTTGCCACTGTGTGATGGCAAATATACAGACAATACTTGTCCTCATGAAGTTTTAAGATAGCTTTACTGAATGTTTCTTTTTTCCCTCCCTTCAGATTTGTCACGGAACAGGCTGTCAGAGCTTCCAGCAGAAGCATGTCACTTTGTCTCCCTCGAGAGTCTTAATCTGTACCAGAACTGCATTCGATATATCCCAGAGGCTGTTTTGAACTTACAATCTTTAACATTTCTAAATATCAGGTAACAATTGTCTTAGAAGTTTTGCTTAAGCATCAGTAGTCTGGGTTTATAAATTTTGATGCATCCATAAGTAATGCTAATGTGGTGTGTAATCATCACGTTGTTATATTGTATGTCATTGAATCAGAGCAACCTGAACCAGTCTTACTGACTTAGGGAACATGAGGATTAAGCAGCTGCTTGTAGAAGTGGAGTATGAAGAAGAAAGCTAATTCCATTTTAAAGGACTCTCAAAATAAATTCCAGTAGTTTTCATGCAGACTGAAAAAAGAGGACAGAGCTTTTGGATAGTCTTTACAATTCAGCTCTCAGCAGCTGAATAAGGCTTATGCAATTTCCCTTTACCTTCACTGTACTGGTGGCTTTTAAAGATCCTTCTCAAGCATTAATGCTTCTCTGCCAGCATTAAAGGTAATTGCTGCAACTTAGCCTGTTCATGAAATTCAACTGTGTACAGCATCTTTCATTTGAAGAAGGTCTTTTAAGAGCTGTGGAAAGTTCCTTGCCACAAATTGGCAGTGATATCAATCCAGAAAAACTTCAGGCAGGCTCCTTCCTTCTGGTGTTATGCTTTTGCCAATTTAGCATGCTTATGTTTCTTTATTTTCATTTTTTATTGATGGTGAGAATTGTAGGAATGGGATATGAATCAGGTAAGAGCTTCCTATTGCTATGATCTCTAGTAGGTGCAGTCCAATTATTATCCTTTTAAAAACTGCTGTTGCTTCACTTACTGCTCAGAACTTTTTTCTTTTTCTTTCTTTTCCCCTCTATCGTAGGGAAATCTAGGTTTCAAGCATGAAATAATACAACAGCATATTTTGGTAAATGTCAATGCCTGATCAAAGCCTTAGTTAAGATCCTAATAACTTTCCAATCATCCAGTCACTGCTCCTTGCTATGTTTTAAATGGAATCTTTCACAATCCATTCTCATCCTGCCTGATTCTCATCTGAGGTTACAGTTCAGTCATACAACCTCATATTTCCTTTAATAGTAGTTTATTATAAAATGTCCAAGGCTGTGTTTTGGAATAGTGAAATCCATCATACCAAGATTCTTGATCCACATGACTTACTGAATATTTAAAGTATATCTCTAATTGAGTGAATAATGACTTTGTGGTATTTTGTATGTGCTGACCTACAATACTACTTATCAGGCTTTTGCACTCTGTTCAAACATACTCATTTGTGAAAGAGAGTGGTCAGTTATCAGAAGCACCTGAAAGGGTACAAAAATATCGTATTCCCAAGCACTGAGTTCAAAAGCATCTGATGAGGCTTGGTGCTTGATATTCAGAGTTTGTTTACACATAACTGGATAAAGCAAGTAATACAGAAAGACTTCATGGAATTACTTTTACAGTAATTATATAAAAACTGAGTGATCATCTAAATGGAGCATGCTTTTTGTCTATGTCTTTCATTGCATTAAGATGTGAGGTGATTTCTCATTAGAGTTCTGATGATTTTGTTTTCTTTCTGTCCAAAAAGTCGAAACCAGCTTTCAACATTGCCAGTACATCTCTGTAGCCTACCACTAAAAGTTTTGATAGCAAGTAATAATAAGTTGGTTTCAATACCTGAAGAAATTGGACAGCTTAGACAGCTGACAGAGCTTGTGAGTATACAGTTATTTTTTAACTATTACTATCCAGTCTTTAATTTTTAATTGATGTATTTAATAGGTTCAGAAGTGCTTCAGAAGAAATAACTTTTTTTTAAACTGATGAAGATAATGCAGTAAATAGGATCCTATGTGGGCATGTGCAAGATCAACATCTTGTTTCTCATTCTGCTGAGAACTTTGTGATTGTAAACTAGTCACTTGTATGCAATAGCAAGTTACTTAAATCTGTTCTTAATCTAAGGAAGATTTCTATCTGCCGTAGTATCTCCAACTGTGTTTTGAACTTTGTATAAAGATATTAGAAAAGAGTTTCAAATACTGTGAGATTTAAAAAAAAATAAGTGGGGGAAAGATGCCTTGGAGTGCAAATGACCCATATCAATTTAACTAAGAGTCTTGCCTATTTTTGAAAGGATGGATGGATGGAATTATAGCTGTTGGTGAATTTGTTACTGGCAAAAAGCTTTTATGTAGCAAGTTGCACTGTCTCCAATAATATGGAATAGCTTAAATGAGATAACTTGAAATAAGCATCTACATTTGAATGCTTAATCTTTTAAAGCTTTTATTTCCCCATATATTTAAAATTAGAATAATGCTTCACATCAGCAGTGAGATTTAATGAATATCAAGATCTGAGGTGTTATGTAAATAGTTGTCTTTTTCTTTCAGTCCCTAAATAAAACACTGTGTATTGTAATTAACAGAGGCTTACCAGTCAGTGGTGGTAATGTCAAAACCGCGAACTTGTTCTTTACTCTTGCTTTGTAGGATGTGAGCTGTAATGAAATACAGACAATACCTCCACAGATTGGCAATTTGGAATCTTTGCGAGACCTAAATGTCAGAAGAAATAATTTGGTGCGTTTACCTGAAGGTGAGATGAAGGCTGTTGGTTATAACAGCAGAAACTTCAAGGACTTCTTTATTTTCAATGCCTTTTTCTTCCCTTGAGAGCTCGAAGCAGTGTACTTAATTAATTTGTAAAACACATATTTTTATACTCTTGCTCTTAAACCTCCTGAATGGTGTTTATTTTCTGTCTGCAGAGCTTGCTGAGTTGCCTTTGATTCGATTAGATTTCTCCTGCAATAAAATAACAACAATACCAGTTTGTTATAGAAACCTCAGACATCTGCAGACCATCATGTTAGAGAACAACCCTCTCCAGTCACCCCCTGCACAGGTAAACTGCAGCTAGAAATTCAGATGACTAGTTGAACTAAAAAGGGCAGAATGAAGTTAAAAGCTGAAGGATTATATTACAAACTTTATTTAAGAGCAAAGGACTTGAAATAAATTGTATTGTCTAAAAGTGTTAAATATACAGCACAGCTTGAAAAATCCCTTTTTCTTCTCTTTACTGTATTGGAGTTCTCACCTATGGGATATTACTAAGAATACCGCTGTTAGCATTGTCGTACTGTTAGCTGAACATTTCTGCTTTCACTGTAGGAGAGAGGAAGCTCTGTTAGGCAAGACTGATTTTGTGCCACTCAAATGTCAAAACTTTGACTGAAGCCTCAGTGCTGCTGTGTGCAGGTTCACTTTGCAGCAGAGTGCTCAAATTGGCCTTTGAGCTAGAAACTGCAATATGGTTAGTGACTAATTTGATTTTTAATGTGGGTATATAAGTCCTTGAGTATTACAGGCTCTGCTTTGAGCTGCTGCTTCTGAGTCAAGAGTGGCACTTGCTAAGACCTGTAGTTTTGCCTCCCTTTTGAAAGCAAAGACAGCTGTTACTGGCTTCATTCATTTCAAATTTGAGCTTGCTTTGGCAGTCTGCCACTGCCATTCAAAGCTGGGCATGGGTGGGATGCATCTGTTCTGATGCCAAGGGTATAAATTCTAGCACTTGTATATGCTTGTCTTGTTTGCATGATGAAATTTCAGCATCCAGCTGACAAGGTTGTATGCAGACCAGGTGTACTTGGAGGACAGCTTCCATTCCACAGCATCCTGTGATGCTCCACTATAGCTGTTTCTCTAAAATGCAGTGAGATTAGAAGAAAAAATGCATTGGTTGACATAAGTGTGCTCATTTATTACTCTCAACTATAATGTCTGTAGAGTACTTTGGAAATGTACTGTCAAATTATGTTATTTGTTGTTTGGTTTTTTTAAGATATGTATAAAAGGAAAAATTCACATATTTAAATACCTGAACATAGAAGCATGCAAGATAGCTCCAGACTTGCCTGATTATGATAGGAGACCCATGGGATTTGGATCTTGGTAAGTTTGGCATAATCCAATTTCCTATTGATGACATTCTGGAAAATTGTATCAGTCATCTGAGTTTTTTAAAAAAATAGATCCCAGGATTGTTCTTTGGTAAATGCATTGATGAAGGTGCATTTGAAGAATATAATTTATGTTATCTCATGGTACATTGTAACAAGGTACTACTATATAAAAAGCAAGGAGCAGTTCAGAAGAAAACCTGGGCAATACCATATGAAAGGCAGTGTTAGAGTTGATATACAGTAAGAAGAGAATGTCTCCTCATAGCACAGGAGGTGTGCTCTCATGTTGTTAACATATGTGTTCAGTTTATAAGCTCTTAATATTTTCCACATACTTACTGAAGTATATCCCTGCTGTGATTTTTAAACTTTTGTACAGAATTTAACTGCTGTGCTCAAACTGCAGGTGTAAATGCTGATCTCCACCCCATTTGTAAACTGTTATTTTTGGCAAGCTTTCACTTGGCACTACTGCTTAGTATTGTAACACAAATATTAGAACAGTCAGCCATATCAGCTGCTAAATTAAGATGTCTAGAAAAAGCAGCAGTTAAGATTCATTTCTGTTACATGATAGAGAAGAAAGGGAGTCAGTGAAGTATGACGCTAAAGATATATATTAAAAATTACTTCAGTTATCTTGGAAGGTGGTAATAAGGTGTGGAGGAATAAGTTGCTAAAGGATGTGCTGCTATCTTAGCAGCAATAAAACACAAATCAGAGGGCCTCACAATAAATCATCATGAGTCAGATCTGTGAAGTCTAAGAATTTGCATGAGGGACTGACAGAGTGATTCCTCATCAGCAGTGAATGTCTTAAATTATTTTTCTAGATGAGGTCAACATATGAGCATTTTGAGTGTTACTCCGTTTCCTAGACTATAAGCTGTTGCAGACGTTTTCTGCATAGTACTGGGATACTGTCCTGTTACTGAAAAGAAAAGGCTTTAAATGATAAAATGTCATGATCTGTATATCTCTAGCATAGTTTATTTTTTAAAACAAGTTCCAACAAAATCAGCAGGCTATGTGCTGATTTATTGTTGTCTAGAGTTGTGTATTACTGTGAAAGTCTTCATTAATTGCTTTTGTGAAATGACATTATTGTATTTTAATCATAACTTGGAATTATGAATGTAAAAATGTGCAGAACTGGTTGAAGATCCTTTCTCTAGAGTTGCTTCCAGATTCAGCCGTATGAAATGAGGTTCAGCTGGCTTTCCTTTTAGCTGTATTTCCATCCCCAAGAGAAGATGAGAGTTGACGATGGAATTATTTGTTGCTACCATGCTATTTAGGGCATTTAGTGTTGCAGGTCATTTCTCCTGCTTTTGAGTACCTATGGAAGAACTGGCCATGGATCAGAGTACGTGTTAGGAGAAAATGGTAGAATGATCCTGTGGAAGAGAGGATCACACATTATTATATTCTTCTGGAACTTGGGATAAGAGAAATAAAAGCATTCAACTACAGTATAGTTAATATTTCCAGGAAAGTCACAAGACCTTCATGTTTGTTATCTTCAAAGGTGACCAATAGAAATAAGGTATCAGTCAGTACACCTAGACTTTGGTGCGGTTTTATCTGATAAGGTGGGTGAAACACCATGGAGGTTAAGAATCTGAAACTGAGTGGTAGAAATTCTGAAAGTTTAAGGAAGTTTGAGTCATGCTGTCAGTTCACTCTTGATCAAACATTTTTTAATAGCAAAGTTGTTAATACTGCTAATAAAACAAGATACTCTGAAACATTATGGCAGAAAGTGTTGTTTGGAGTTTGTAGTGCAGCTAATTATTTGGTTTAACCTTGTCAAATTCTATCAAACTGTCTTACCAGAGTGAAATCTTGAATGTTACAGTCCTTTTCTAAACATAGGCTATGAAACTTACCTCGCAGCAAGTTTTGATCTGCTGCAGCCAATCTCTCATTTGCAACACTAAAGTTCAGAGCAGCTGAGGTTGGTGCTGGAGTGAATGTGGTTGAGAGGAGGCAGAACTGTTGAAGCTGTGTAGTAGTTCTTTTGGCACTGAAGCAGACTGGTAGTGTGGAGTTAGAAGGTTTAAAATATGAAGTACTTGTGTATGAACCAGTGTAGTGGATATTCTGGGAACTGGGTGTGGTGGGTTGACCCTGGCTGAG